GTTTATAACAATAGATGATGAGACAAAACAAAATAGATTCGAAAATAGAAACTTCGAGGGCAAACGATGCGTTTCCTACGCACCAATCTAATACTTATTTTTATTATCGTGCAAGGCTAACTCGGAAGCATTCAAACGTACGGAAGAACCTTGGCCGATTCCGTTGCGCGTACCTACCTCGTAATTCGTTCGAATCTTTTTTTTCTTATCGAAAGAAACCTCGGCTCGCAATGCAGCCGTCTATCAAAGTGATTCCTCCGAGATTGGCAAAGTATACTTACGTATCGCTGTACGCTACGCGTTCGTCAGTTTCCGGCGTGCTATCGGGTGCTTGGCACTGCGGCGCGATCATTACCTCGCACGCGCGTTTATATTTTAATCGCAGCAGAGTTCCGAAACAATTTGTTGTGTCAAGGCCGAAGGGCTTGAGCCCGGGGCGGCAATTACATCAGTCACGAAATCCGCAACAGCTGAGTCCCGGCCGTGCACCCTCCGGACTTGCCGAAACTTTCCGGGCAATCGAATTCAACCGACGGATCGCCCGCAGGGTGATTCGTTTCGGTCGTCGATGGAAATCTCCAAGGGCACCGTCGAGTTTCGAAAAGTCGATATCGGAAAAAGCGGGACGCGATGAAACGAAGTGCACTCGAGTTAAAACTAAACAGGAGTGGCTACGTCTTGTCAGCAAAAATTTCGAGTGTCATTTCGGACTGATTCTTCCTTACCCTTGAAATAAATCGATTCCTGTTGAAGTTTTAAAGAATGATCTTATTCGATCTTTTTTATAGAGTCTTACCACGGTGAGCCAGGGCGAAACAAAGGAGCAATTGAAGCTCCTTCGCAACCACCTTCTCGCGCTCACGTGCACCGAACCGCAGCTACAATCGATCAAGGATCGCAGCCTGGAAGTGCAAACTCAAGAACCATCGGTGGTCGAGGTGCTGCAATTATGGCAGAAGGTGTTCAGGGAAACCTTCCAACAGTATCACCGCTTATCGACGCGGTTGATCAAAACTCAGGATGGTGCAACCGCGTTGAAGCTCTGGCAGGAGTATCTGTCCCATGTGCAGGACTTCTTATCGAACGATGTGCCCGGGGATTACAGTCGTCTGTCGGAGCACAGGAATCTCTGCGAGGTCCATCGGAATCTCTTGACCGACCAACAGAATCTCATCCTCACTGTTCGAGCCAAAGAGGACAACAATCTATCGACTACCGAACAGTTCAATATCCTGACGAACCTGCACAACGAAACACTAGCCAAAATCATGGAGAGGCACGCGGCGGTGCGCGATAGCCTAACCGCGTGGGACAAGTACAAGACGGATCAGAGCAAACTTCTCGCTTGGTTGAAAGAGATCGAGAGAGAGCGAGGACAGTTGCACCTTCGATTCATCCATCTGCGAAGGTTGGATAAAATACTGCAGAGGATACAGACGCTGTTGGATAAGATACCACAAGGCGAGGCGCAGCTGGAGTCCCTGCAGGAGCAGCAGGAAACCTTACTCGTGAACTGTGACGAGGCGCTGGCCGTGTCCATCCGCATGGAACACGCGGCGGATACTCAGAGAATAGCGAATTTGAGCGCTAGCCTGGAGACGTGGAGGGACTTCATCCAGAGGATACAAAAACTTTACGCGGAATACGAGGAGAAAACGAGCGGAATCACCTCGACTTTTGAGGAGATCAGTCAAACCCTGAGCATAGCCTTTCACGCGAAGCCCGCCAGTTTGTCCAGAACGAAAGAGCAATTGGAGTCGATTCAGCAATTGCAAAATAGGCTATCCGGGATGACAGGCGATTTGGAATCCTTAGGTGTGATCACGGAACAGTTGAGGGAGTGTCTTAGCCCATCGGACATGAAGTCGTTGAACCAACAACGGGCGCTCCTCTGTCAACAACACGGAGATCTCGAACATCAGGCCGCGTTACTGGTGTGCAGATTAGAAGAACGTTGCGGTTTGTACGATCGCTGGAAGGACAGATTAGGCAGGTTACTCGCGTGGATACAAGATACGGAAGCCAGAATTCAAGACTGTGACTCGTCGGTACCGGACGAGCCCGAGGAGACCCTTAAGAGACTGGAATGCGAATTGCAAGCAGAAATCGCATTGAAACAGCGAGAACTGTTGTGGGTGCAGAACATCGGATACGATTTAATAGAAGTAGCCGAGGAAAAGGAAGCCGAAAAATTGCAACAATCGTTGAACGAACTGAACGAGAGATGGGATCGACTGTTGGCTACCGGGAAAGCTAGAGCCAGCAAGTTAGTGGATTTGATGAGGACGATGAACACATTGGAAAAGAGGATAATCGAGCTGAAGAGTTGGCTGGCCAGCGTCGAATCTCAGCTTTCGGAGACGTTCGTGATCGAGGAGATCAGTCAGAGCTGCATCGATAAGAAACTGGACGATCACCATCAGCTCCAGAAGACTATCGAAGCGGAGAGCGGAAACATCGGAGATGTATTGAATCTCTGCGAAATCCTGTTGAGCGACTGCGACGCGTGGAAGGCGTCGTTCAACACGGACGCGATTAAGGACGGAATGGAGGGCTTGGAGCGCAGGTGGACAGCCACCTGTATGAAATCGGCGGAACGGAAAGGGAAAATTGTCCTCACGTGGAAGATCTTACAAGAATTGGAGCAAATCAGAGCGGAGAACGAAGGCTGGCTCGAAGAAACAGACAAGGCTCTCACCGATTTGAAAGACAGCCTCGATGATGTCTCAAAGGAGGAGGCGAAGAACGTCGTCGAGAAAGCGAAGAGCATTCTCGAGGATGTGGAAGCGCACGAGCCAGTCATCAAAATGATCGAACAGAAATTCAGCCGCTTGGCCAGAACCGGGCTTGAGCCGGATAATCTAAAATTTCTTATCAGTGAAACTAGGCAGCTTATCGATAAATGGCAGACGCTGAAACCCAGAGCAAATGCGTTACTATTGGCTCTTCAGCAGGGACAGAAGAATTATCGAGACTTCATTACCGTGCATGGTGCAGCGGTCGTCGGTTTGACGAAAGTCGACGTTCAACTGACCAGAACTCAACACCTGGCGACGCCTGAGCAGAAAGCATCGACACGTCGCAGACTGCGTCAATTGAGCGAGATCGAGGAAGAGTTGAGAACGCAGAATATCACGCTCCAAAAGGCGGATGAGTTAGCATTGAAAGTTATGCAAGAATGCCATCCGAATGACGTGGCGACTATTCAAGAATTGGTCGACGAGTATCAGCTGCTGTGGAAGGACATCAAGCAAAGAGTGGCTGCGCTACGGGCGGAGATCAAAGGGGAAGAGAGGCTGGAGATCGACGAGGCCGTGCAAGTGGAGACGTTGAAATTCGAACAAGACAGCGCTGTTCAAGTCGATACTCTGCCAAGGTTGATGAGAATGACGTCCAGCGACGCGTACTTGATGGAACTGGAAACCGCTCTTATTGAGTGCAACGATGCGCTGGACACATTGGAGATAGCAGTCACTCCGGATCCCGTTGCTGGACCTGGATTAACTGCAACCGCTAAGAAAATTGTAAGTGCCTGCAAGTGTACAGATTTATTTTCACGAAAATTAAGAATATTAACTGTTTTCACGAATGTTATATATTCCTGAACTATCTATCTTTATTTCATAAATTACTTAAAATTCTGAAACAGTTATCTATTGACATAAACTTATACGAACGATTTATTTCATGAACTGATAAAAAATTAATGCCTGATCAAAAACTAGTTTCTTAACGGTGTGTATAAAAAGTGTACTGATTAAATACAAAATTTTGTAACTCGTTTCGCAGAATAAATTACTCGGAAGTTGTCAGTCTTCGATCGAACTGGTTCGCCACTTGCACAGTTTGCTCATAGCCGACGGGAAACTAACTCCAGATGCTGCTAAAGCCAACGAAGTAGATGCGTTGACGGAGAGATATGAAAATCTCCTGATTTTAGCGCGCACACGAGAGCAACAAATCATAGAGCTGAGGTAAACTCCTTTCCTCATTTATATGTAGAGACAATTAATTATCCAGTAATTATTGACATTACATTAGTTTAGTTTCCGTACTGATAAACTAATACCACTAACATCGAATAACAATATTTTTCACGCGCAGGTCGCCTAACTCTGAGGTTTACACCTCACCATGCGGTCAGTGAGTGTTCCCTTTTCTCTAACAGTCTCTCATTAACAATCGTTAACTACCTCGTTTCGTACGTTTTTACTTTCTGTAGTGAAATAATTAGCATGTGATTTCGTTCGAAACAGATATAACCGATTTAAAAATAAAGTCTAAAACATTTTGATACATTGTTAATTCTTAAAATCGTATTTATTACAGCGATAATGGAAGATTGACCTGTCCCTTGTGTTCGCATCGCAACTGGGCTCAATTGGAGAACGATATCTGGAGATTGGAAAAATGGTTGGAATTCGCTGAAGGCACTCAAAGCGAACAGTATTCTCCACCTAGCGACATAGAGGAGTTAGAAGATGTTATACAGGATCACAGAGAATTTTTGCTCGATCTTGATAGCCATAAGAGCATCCTGGTCAGCTTGAACACGGTCGGTGCCCATTTGGCGGATCACACCGAGGATCTATGTCGAGCAACGCATCTCAGGGACAGATTAAGTGTCGCGAACACGCGATGGGACAAAGTTTGCATCGTAGCTGCACGCTGGCAGGAACAGTTGCAGGTCGCATTGATGTCCAACCAGCAATTCCATCGTATCATCGAGGAGATGCTCGTTTGGCTCGAAAAAACGGAACTCAGTATACGAGCTAGCGAGCCGGTCGATCTAACAGAATCGACCGAGATAATGACCGCCAAGTACAATAAATTCAGGTACATTCTTAGAGTTTTTTTTCTATTTATAATAGATTGATGCGTATATGAATGGTTTTTAAATTAAAACTTGTACTTGAAAAAAACGACATTTCATATTCACCAACCTAATACAAATCATTGTGTTAATCAATGAGCGATCAAATATTTTTTTTAGATATGTATATTGTATGGCAACGAAAAAACAATGTTTTCAGGGAACTGAGGTGTGACTTAGAACGATGCGAGCCCCGAGTTCTCTCGCTTCAAGAGTCGGCCAATCACTTGCTGGACGAGAAAGGCGAAACGAGAGCTCGCTTACAGGAGCTGCGACTCAGATTGCAATCCCTTCGCCGACTCACCGGAATATACGCTTTAAAATTAGGCGTGGCACTGGGCATGGATCCTCGAGAAGTGGGACTCGCTGCTACGACCTCTTCCCTTGCTGCCCTTTCTCGAGACGTAAGTCCGTTTCGTATTTCCTTATTGACAGAATTTTCTCGAGACGAAGTAAATTGCTACAAAAGAAACATCTTCGATGCTACTAAAAGAACTTCCAGGGAACGTCAGAGTTATGAAGTTACTTGCTGGAACGACTCGCTTCGTAAATGTTTTAGTCGTTTGGTGTAGATCTACATATATGTGCACATACGTCGTAGAGTCACGTTAAACGATAATTTGAACACGAGGCACGGATGTGATAAAAATCCGACGAATATCGAATACAGTATTAAAGAACCGTACGTTTGTACAAGCTGATTTATTTGACAGTACAGTTAATCGTGTTTCGTAAGATCAAATGTCGTTGGAATTTTATTATTTCTTATCCAGTAATCGTAGCATTCACATGCACAGTACCTTACCGTTTGTGTTTTCTCTTTTACTGTATTGTAGCTGCTCGACGAAGCTGCCTCCGGAACCGTTCAACCCCGCGACGCACACGACACAGAGTATGTTTCTTCATTTTATGTCCTTAGATATACTCTGTAAATTTTACATGTTACATGTAACATTTATATTTGTATATTGAATTTCCTCATAAATGCATAAAATCTGCAGTCTCTTAATGAAATATTATTTAGCTCGTATAAAGAAGCGATACAGATATTTTAATTCGCTCACGTGTTCCAGTGGTGACGAAGGCGAACAAACGGTATTGTCTCGAGGATACCGTTTCCTGGGCCGTGTGTTGCGAGTGTCGTTACCGATCCAGGCGTTGATGCTGCTGGTCCTCGGCGTCGCGTCCATGGTCCCGTCCGCCGAAGAAGACTACAGCTGCATGCTGTCGAACAACCTCGCCAGAAGCTTCACGCCGATGGTCGTCTATCCGAACGGCCCGCCGCCGATCTAACGATAAAGAAGCCTAACTCCGTGCGCAACGACCACGCCGGACACAGAAGGGCTTCCAATCGGAACATCCAGAGGAATCGCGCAAAGCGAAAGCGCGATGCTCGCGCTTATTTGACTAGTCTGTCGTACAGCGACACGTCAACTCCTCGACCGGAGGATCGATGAGCGTTTTGTTGTTCCTGTGAATCTCGATAACCAGGTTTCTCGTCGAAACGACCGAACGAGCGGATCGTGAAAATGTTCGATCGTCTCAACACCTTTCGTAAACGACGGTTTTCTATGTGTGATAACGTTTGTACTTGCGATGATTAACGGCGCGCGTTACGGCCGAAACGATCGTCGCTGTACGACGCCCTCAGCTTATTTACACGTATAATCGTGATCTTGGTGCAATATTTGCATAATACCCTCCAGCCCCCGAAACCACGAAGAGAAACTCAAACGATGTTAACCGTGAAAGAGGAACGGTCCACGAGAGATGATTGCATAATTATGTACGGCCTCTTAGACACGGTTTATATACGATAATTCGACGGATCTGTTTCCGGTTAGCCGACATTCCATGTAACATTACCGCGTTTGTATTCGACTCGTACAAAGTGTAGATATCGTTCCGTTAATAACGAATCAGTTTTTCCTGCCCCGTCGTTTTTTTTTTCAGTTTCCTGTACAAAGGGCGAAAGAGAGAAAGAGGATGAATGAGAGAGAGAGAGAGAGAAAGAAATTAATGTCACATGGAATGCGCGAGAAAACGTTGACGATTAAGGGGTAATACCATTGCGACGAATCAAATTTTAAGGCATGTTTGGTATTTCTTTTTAACACAACAACAATATGTGTAGAAAACCTGTTTTGAGTCATTCATTATGTATGTCATAATTTTTTTTCACCGGTCACAATGATTTTACCCCTTAAATTCTATTAACGATTATTAAACGATATAACGAATCGCTTGCATTGTGCACACACAAATACCGCGACACGATACGATACGTGTACGCGAGTGTACTATAGTAATGATAGTTAACTTTCAGAGAGAGTTTCACGATTTTGCGTTATTACGTAAACGAGGAGAAAAATTAATATACATAACTTGTTTGACTTTATTTTTTATACGTTGCGTTTATAAAACTCTGAAAGAAGAAAAATGGAGGGAGAGAGAAGCGGTTCGATGTGATCGAAACGAAACGTCCACTGACCGATATAGTTATTTGACGTGAAGATCGCTAATCGCGATAGTGAATTGGTGCTAGTTCAAACAATAGAGAGAAACAAAATAATTGTAATTATTCTGATACGATTATATGATCACGGGAGGTGGTATCGAATTGTTCTGCTTTCCGTTGGTTTTTCTACGGTTCCTTGAAAGAGAGACGAAGAATGAAGAGACGAGTGATTAGAATAAAAAAAGACATACGCAATATGTATATTGGAAATATGCAGGCAAAACAGCAGATAACTGTTGCTTCATTGTTCCTTTCCTTTACGAGCAGGGGAAAGGAGAACGATGCAACACTTTTGGATACGCACAAAAGGATCATGAGTTCATGCGAGGTACAAAATAAGAAAAAAACAATATAAAAATGACTGTATTTAACGGCCCGCTAGTTTCGCTTTCTAATTTATCGGTATATTGCTTGCTACGCGACCGAGCTTTGTTACGTATTTTTATAAGAACAGAGCTTTCCGAAGGCGGTGTACATCTATCGATGTAATATAATTATAATAAATTGAGACCTATACAGAATTTGATTCCTTCAACCAGAAACTCCATTCTCTACAA